GTGAATATTGATTGGTTGTTTGGGAGTCGGAAGGATTGTGTGGTTTTAGTTGGTTGTGTGGTATGGACTCCGAAACCTGTGTGTTTGGAGGTCGGATCTGAGGATCCGTCCGTGTAAATGTGACACCAATTTGGCCAATTTTCGTGTATGTATGCTAGTGTGGTAGTTTTAGCTATGTTGTGGTCGGTTTGTTTATTTATTTGGCTAGCTAGTGTTGTGTCTATTTTGGGTATTTTAAGTTTAGGGGTGAAGATATTTGATTGTTTGCAGTTTTGTTTTACGATTTTTAATTTGGTGTTCATTTAGGTAGTTTGTTATTCTTTGGGATATTAAGGGTAAGTAAGGGGTGTTTACGAGCTAGAGCTTGGTTTTTGGGGCTGATGTTTTGGTTTATTAAGTTTTGGATGAGAGGGTTTGATTGGGACGCGGCCCAGAAGTTTAAGCTTAGCTGTTCCCTGCGTAGACTTAGTGGCATTTCTCCGGTTAAGGCCTGATGTGAGGTGTAGGAGGTGCCATGTTGGGTGCGTGTAATTAGTTTGAGAGCCTGATATTGTATTGAGTCAAGTTTTTTAGATAGAGAGTTGTTTAGGGTGTTGTATATGGCGCAGCCGTAGTCTAGTTTTGATCTAATTAGTGATATGTAGAGAGAGAGGAGGGTATCTTTGGATGCTCCCCAGTTAGAGCCAGTTAGGCATCTTAGGGTGTTTGGGTCTTTACTGCATTTAGTTGTTAGGTTTTGGATGTGAGCATCCCAGGTGAGATGTTCATCGAAAATAAGTCCTAATAATTTGGTTTGTTTTTGAAATTTGATTGTTTGATTGTTTAGCTGGAGGATTGGGGAGGCGGGTTTCATGTTTTTATGTTTGAATACTATTCCTGTTGTTTTTTCTGAGTTAAGGGAGAAGCCCCATTTGTCAGCCCATTGTTGTATTTTATTAAGAGACTTTTGGAGTAAATTTTGGACCATGTTCATGCTTTTAGTGCGGATCCAGATGGCTCCATCATCCGCGAATTTTGATGTGTTTACTTTAGGGGATAGGCCCTCGAATAGATCGAAGTGATCTGTTTACCTTGAATATATATAAAATTATATATCCGTGAGTATCCGTGTTAGCATTGGTCTTCAGCAACACATAAGCGTAGTCTGTGCTTGTCATATGAGTCGACCAATGGAACCGTGTGGCTCTTTTTCTTGATTGATGCATGTCGTCTTATCCCACTTGCGCTAATCAATGCTCACAATGTCAATGACTGGATTGGCTGGATCAGACTCGACTATTTACAGACCGCCGTCGTATATCTGGGATATTGCTGGGTGTGGCGTTTAACAACAAACAAAAACAAAAAAAAACCCGTAGAAGAATATATTACAAGATAATTACGTATAATCGATTTCTATACAACGTAAGTGCGGTACAATGCTGACACATCTAAGGACATGAGGTGAGGTGAAATTGGGTTTAACGTCGCGTCCAAGATTATTGCACTTATAAAGCGACGTGCATGTACGTGTGTGTGTTTGTGTGGCAGCTTGTACTAGTCCGGACTGATTCCGATTTATAGTGCTAGCTCACTGAGATACCATGCCGCAGTTTAACATGAATACCCCACTCAGATACAGTAACTTTCTTCGAGCCGACCAGTCCTTGTTTTAGCCCCTTAATGCCGACCGCCAGACAGGGTAACAACAAGTACCATCTTTTAACGTCTTTTGGTATGACCCAGTCGGGGATCGAACCCCGGACCTTCCGCTCTCCGGGCGGACGCTCTACCACTAAACCACAGAGGCGGTCGACCCATCGAAAGAAGAATAATAGTTCTCAGTTCACCATGAGAGAGTTTCTGCCCACTGCCTATCTGGTAGTTTTCGCCTTCTATTTGGCTGCAAGTACGATTATTCCGTATGATTAGCAGCATACGTGTATGGGGCTGTCTCAAAGCAATCACAAGCTCAAATTACAACATATAAAGAAATATCCAATGGTGTCACTTATATTTGCAATATAGTTTGTTTGTTGAGTTTCGTGGAATGTTGGCATTTCGTGTAGAATACTTTAAATAAATATAACATTTTTCAGCACCAATATTATGGTATTTGCAGAAATGTTTTGTAAGTTTTATCGGTGTTAAACCTTTTCTTTTGAAACATGAATGTTTATTTGCCCGTTATTATGAAGCCAGTTGCCCACATACAACCAGACGTGGCGTACTTTTTGACATTCCTCCAAAAGAGGAGAAATAATGTTACCAACAACGTTGATCGCCATTAACGATGGCTGTAGGGATCTTTGTCTCAGCAAAGATGGCTTCGCCGTAACGAGATCGGCTTGACTGACGTTTCATCGGGTATTGTAGTTGCCAGTATTCAGCATTCAGTGTTCATGGGACAATGAACAATAGAAATCACTGTCCCAAACAGACCATCTCGTTCGAACTGTCACTTGAGAGTGATAATCTGTGGTCGTTTGTCCACGGACATTAATTCCTGAGAAACCGCTGTTCGAGGTTCGACTTCAATGTCCTACTCATGTCTATCTTTCTCTACATGTCCTACATTCTAGATCTCAAATCCGTTTCCGAAGATCTGATTATAATATGCTTTACAGAGTTACTAATAGATGTCTAGATATTTATCTCTACTGTATTGATGACTGTACGTATGCGTAATAGTAAAGGCAATTTATTTATGTAACGGCAAAACAATAGCAGACGTGGCGTAATTTTTGACATTCACCCAAAAGAGGAGAAATAATGTCCTTATCTTTTGAGCAATAGCTACACAAATCGCTGTCCACGTATGGCATTTAATAAAGAAGCGATTTTCTACACCGAGGTAGCATGTGATGTCATACTTATATTTGATATTGGAACCATTGATATGTACAAGAGTCTGTACACATGAAAGGTATAAGATTTATAATCTTTGCAGAATTTGCATCTTGAGATTCCCATTTTTGAAAGTGTTGATTATTGGTAATTTGTTTATCCATAAACGCTTTATAGAAATATTGAGAAGCGTTCCTGGTTTTTTTAACCAATGGAAACATAAATTGTAAATTGGGTAACTAGGTTTCTTCAGCTTCTAAATAACCCATTGCATTGTCGATTGGGTCAGACGTAAACAATTTTAGATAATTATTGTGATGTCAATAGTTCAAACGAGAGAAGTGTCCGTCTTCATCCATACAATTATTCATATATCTGATGCCTTTTGTAGATCATGATTGGTAAAAAAAACCGTTTCCTTCCCCATCAAATAACAGACATTTCGTGACAGAATGTCAACAGCAGGATTATTATTGTTTCCTAGGAAATGTCCAGTAGCTAGTTAGACTGAACATGCGGGGACAATAGTGTGCCTCCCGGTTCTCTTACACACTTCATTACATCAAGACCAGTTTTTGTGAGGATAACCTGCCTTGTCCCACCTTGGAGGATTGGCCACCGTCGCCGCTGGGTGAATATATCATCATCATCAGCAGCAGCAGCAGCAGCAGCAGCAGCAGCAGCAATCACCATCATCATTATTATTATTATTATTATTATATTTTGCCACTTTGTCACCACTTCTTTTTAAAATTTGATACTGACCACTGTCATTCTATTATGTATTGCCATTGAATATTGTACTACCACTCTATTGTGCACTGCCATTGTAATTGCTTTGCAGTATTGATTTGTAAACCTAGTGAATTGTGTAATACATTTGTTGGTTGTATACCATTTGTTGTTTCTCTGTTGGTTTCACACTGAATTCTTTTACATACATATTTCTGGGTTTACTAATGTTCCGATTTGGGATTCGACGCGTATCAAATCACAATAATAATCTCCTAATTCAATTCATTAACGAATGAACACTTCACACACATGTAAAACATGGATGTACACAAAATATTATTGTTATTATATTATGCATTTACTACTAGATAGACTCAATTTTATGGATAACAACTTCTTTTATACTGTGAAAAGCGACGTTTCGGTATAGATTCTTATACCGTTGTCAAGCAAGACTGAATGAGGGTTGTGTTGTTGTTGCAATTAGTGTTTATGAGGTCGCCTTCTGCCTAGGCAATTTCGGCTGACCTGTCCCTCTTTGGGACACCTGTGTGTGAGAGGGGTACACATATCTATTGTGAGTTTGGTGTTCACATAATTTCTGTTATTGTATTGATATGATTTCTATTTTCGTATATTGATATGATTTCATTTTTATCCTTGGCTGCTCTGTTTATATGAATGAGGGACATAGTACAGAATATATATAGTAGGTGGAGCATTAACAGTAGAGGATTAACAGTGACAACAATTGCATACATGAGTGGGTCTTCGGCGTGACGAGCGAACGCTTTAACCACTAGGCTACCCGACTGCCCCTGGCTGGACAGCGATGTTACAGCAGAAACCAAGGAGTGAGTGAGTATGGTTTTACGCCGCTTATAGCAATATTTCAGCAATATTACGGCGGGGGACACCAGAAATGGGCTTCACACATTGAACCCATGTCGAGAATCGAACCCGGGTCTTCGGCGTGACGAGCGAACGCTTTAACCACTAGGCTATCCAACCGCCCCCAGAAACCGAGGAGATCTTCATAGCAAATCTTTCTACTGTTCCTTTTGTGTCCATCGATGTGGAGACATAAGCAAGTATTATACGTTCAGTCTCATTAAAAACGGGGGCACGGGTGGCCTAGTCGTCTCAGGCGCCGCGATTCGCTGTGCAGAGATGCGACAAGGGGAATCAACGTCACAAGTCGTATGTTGAAAGGACATATTATTTATAAACGCCGAGTGAAAAATCACAATGTCGATTGATTCCTGTTAGAAGGCTCCATTAGTCGACTCAGTGATAAACAACAGGATGTGCTTCATGGGCTACATTTCATGCTATGTGCTGATGTGATGAATTATATATACAAACCAACGAAGCCAAACACACAATGTCTGTAGGGGATACGTTTCGTCGTATCCGTATCAGCATTGTAAAGTCAATTCTGAACATACTGCGTGATTCCTAGAGTCTGCAGTTTGACAGACACTTACACGCGGATTGATCATTGTTCTACTTGTCCTGGGCGTGAACACGCGTAAGATTTATGTCACTATATATATTTGATATATGAAGCATGGAAAAAACAGGCTTTTATATTCTGATTCTATTTTTGCGATTTTCGAAAGATATGATTCAGGCCATTCCAGACTGTGGGAACGTCACACACACTCATGCCATGACGTTTGACAACCGGCTGTTTTCAAGATGGTTGTTGTGGACAAAACCATCAACGAAAAGAATTGAATGTGCCAACATCTGTTTCCGAGAGAAAACATGTGTTAGTTTTCAAGTGAACACAGGAGAATCTGTCTGTCGGGGGTACGCCGTCACCTTCAACGGAAACTCCGCAAGCGATCCAGGTCCGGGGTATATGCTGTACGAAACTGAGAAAGGTAATTTAGTTTATCAAGAAAGTAGTTTGGTTTAGAATAGTTTACCCACTCAAAGACACGATGATACATACTTGCTTGTTAGTTTGTTTGTTTGTTGGTTGGTTGGTTGGTTGTTTAACGCCGCACTCAGCACTATTCCAGCTTTATGATGGCGGTCTGTCAATGATCGCGTCTGGACCAGACAATCTAGTGATTAATATCCTGAGCATCGATCCACGCAGTTGGGTTCGATGACATGCATCAACCACGTCAGCGAGCCTGACCACCCGATCCCGTTTGCCGCCTCTTACGACAAGCAAAGTCGCCTTTTACTGCAAACATGGGTTGCTGAAGATCTATTCTATCCCGGATCTTCAATACTTGCTTGTAATTAATCTTAATGGGTAACGTTGACTCAAATAACACGTTGATGTTTAAATCATTGTTTACACAATGTATGATGCTGCAGCCAATCTGCAATACCACTTCTCATGCCATACATGGGGGCACGGATGGCCCAGTCGTCTAAGGCGCCGCGATTCGCTGTGCAGAGTTGCTTCCCTTCGGCACGCCAGGAACCTGTGTTTGTGTGTTCGAATCCCGGTTCACCCCGATTATGTTTCGAGGTTTGCCAGTACCATACTCGTGTTCTCGGGTTTCACCGAAGTGGTAAACGTCTGAGACCTGCATCACTTCAGGCTTTCCTCCCACATTAAGCTGACACGCCGTGAAATAACTTGAATACTGTTAAAAGCGGCGTTAAACCCAACTCTCTCACTCATTCAGTAGGAGCCAGTGGCTAGTCAAAATTGTCTTGACAGCGAGGAAGATCTACCGAGTAAAGACGATCAGTCTGATGTCAACACGGAAAGACGAGGGAACACAATCTTGTGTTGAACGTTAACCTGATATTTCTAAATGAAATGGATGTTTATCAATAAAACATAATTCGCGAGACAGTTTTTCTTGTGAACAATGTGCCAGGTGTAGATTGACGGTGTAGATTGAAGCATTGTCAAAATATTATTAATTATGTTGTATTTATGCCAATCAATTTGCACAGGGCTATTGAAGCTAAATTTGTTTTCTAAAAAAATGAATATTATGTGTTAAAATTGTTTTGACCAGGGATGGTTGGTTCAGTTAATACAGTTAAACAGTTTTATTAATACGTACTTTATTGATCAATAGAGGGGTGTTAGTGGCAGACATTTAGCTGTGCACATGCACAGTGACTCTAATCGTCTTGTCATTATAACATAATAATATAACCAGCACTATCATCCATGAGAGAGAGAGAGAGACACAAACGAAGAATGAAATGACCTAATTATATAACTGACAATATCACACTAAAAATACCTGTTACGTTATAATTTCTATCTCAAAATGAACACCAAATTAACACTTATCTAACCAAAAACACTTTTTCGCGGTTGACTTATTTCAGAGTTTGGATCAGTTCCGGAACACAGCTAATATACTGTTCAATTTCTTTGTGAATATTTGTACACACATCAAACAAGTACGGGCCTGATGGAAGGTGCTTTTATGGAATGTTATTTTTTTACATGTATATTTTAAATGTCAAAAACATGCTTCAGCTTGGGTTTAACGTCGCGTCCAAGATTATTGCACTTATAAAGCGACGTGCATGTACGTGAATGTGTTTGTGTGGCTGTTTGTACTAGTCCGGAATGATGCCGATTTATAGTGCTAGCTCACTGAGATACCATGCCGCAGTTTAACATGGATACCCCACTCGGACACAGTATACTGACTCCGAGCCGACCAGTCCTTGTTTTAGCACCTTAATGTCGAGCGCCGCAGCAGGGTAACAAGAAGTACCATCTTTTAACGTCTTTTGGTATGACGCGGCGGGGGATCGAACCCCGGACCTTCCACTCTCCGGGCGGACGCTCTACCACTAGACCACGGAGGCGGTCTCAATGAATAATACGACCCAACTGTAATTACCATAAACGAACGATGACGCAACTCTTCACAGCGAATCGCGACGTTTAGACAACTGGGCCACTCGTGCCCCTGATGACTATTTTAAGTTAATTATATTTATTTATGGGTATGACATTGTACCCTGACAGCGTGTGTGCGCATAATACCAGATTCCACTTACATAACTGGAATAATGCATAGTTTAGTGTCAATTAACAAACATGCTGTGCTGTGTGCTGTGGACAGGGAATATCTCATGTTAATATAATGACAGGAAGACATGTAGAACACTCAACTGCATCCTATTGTGCATAGTGTTGTGTAAGACATGCTCCAGTTAGCAGGAAATACGTTCACTGAGAAGATATGCCACATCCCTTGGTGGAGTGAGTGAATTTGGGTTAAAGCCGCTTTTAACAGTATTGCAGTTATATCACGGCGTGTCAGCTTATTGCGGGAGGAAAGCCCGAAGTGATGCAGGTCTCAGACGTTTACCACTTCGGTGAAACCCACGAGCACGGGTATGGCGCTGACAAACCTAGAAACATAATCGGGGCGAACCGGGAGTCGAACCCACAATCATAGGTTTCTGGCGTGCTCAAGTGACGCAACTCTGCACAGCGCATCGCGGCGCCTTAGAAGACTGGGCCACCCGTGCCCCCGTTTTTAATGAGACTGAACGTATAATACTTGCTTATGTCGCCACATCGATGGACACAAAAGGAACAGTAGAAAGATTTGCTATGAAGATCACCTCGGTTTCTGGCGGCGGTCGGGTAGCCTAGTGGTTAAAGCGTTCGCTCGTCACGCCGAAGACCCGGGTTCGATTCCCGACATGGGTTCAATGTGTGAAGCCCATTTCTGGTGTCCCCCGCCGTGATATTGCTGGAATATTGCTAAAAGCGACGTAAAACCATACTCACTCACTCACTCCTCGGGGCGAATCTGGATTCGAACCCATAATCTTAGATTTCTGGCGTGCTCAAGTGACGAAACTCTGCACAGCGAATCGCGGCGCCTTAGACGACTGGGCCACCCGTGAGTCAGTACATGTCTTTAATTTGATAAGAAAGTTTCGCCGTTCAGGGGGCTCTGCAAATGCCAACTTGGGAATGATCTCATATGGGATCAGTGGCGAGAACCTTGGGGAAATCTATATTTTAATATGTCTAGGTAGCTGGGCGCAATGTGTATTGATGAGTTACGAGTATCCCTTGGCTATGTGTTAATGGCTTGGGGTTGGTCCAGCGGCTTGCTCGAGAGGATGCTCCGATGGGTTGTCGTGGTTTTGCTTGATTTACAATGTCGAGTTGTTGACACGGGCAGGGAGGGGAGGGGAGGGGAGGGGAGGGGAGGGGAGTTGCTCATCAATGGTAACCCCAGTGGGTTATCTCCCCTGGGTTGTGACCTGCTCGGGTGTTTCATAATGGCACTTGGATATTACTTTGGACAGGTAGCTGCCCCCAGTGAGTGAGTGAGTAATTTTTGCTTAACGCCGCATCAGCAATCTTGCAGCTATTCGCGGCGAGAAAATGTCTAATCTGACCATATGGAATCAAACATAATAAAAGTGATGATGAAAATCACTAAAACCTCAGTCAATATCACAGTCAAGAGTAAAAACTGATTAATCAGATAAGAAGCTATATTTTATAAAACAGTTTGATTTTTTTTAAATATTCTAAAATCAAGTGATTAGAAACTGAGTTAAAAAGTTCAGATAGGGTATAAACATTATCATAAAAGTGTTGTCTGACGAGTGCAAAATCTACACAATCAAGCAAAATGTGCTTGATAGTATTTGGACTATTGCAGGGGATACAAAAAGGTGGATCTTCACCCTTCAATAAAAACGAATGTGTATAATAACTATGGCCAATGCGGCACCGCTGTAAAACAACTTCATCATGACGATATAAACCAGAATGTGCGTGACCTCCAATCAGTGGTTTGAAGCTGCCCCCAGGGTACCACCTCCAATACTGAGTAAACTGCGCCAATGCACAAGTGTTGTGTGTTGTTTTCATGTTTAAAGTCTTAGTTAAAAAAGATGTAGATGTAAAAATTGTCTAGTCTCAAAAACAAACCCAGGCCCCCTAAAAGATAAAAAAAGGTCAGTACCTTAGTCGCCTTCATGAGTTAGCGAGTGAGTTGGGCTTAACGCCGCTTTTAACAGTATTCCAGTTATATCACGGCGTGTCAGCTTAATGTGGGAGGAAAGCCCGAAGTGATGCAGGTCTCAGACGTTTACCACTTCGGTGAAACCAACCAGCACGGGTATGGCGCTGACAAATCTAGAAACATAATCGGGGCGAACCGTGATTCGAACCCACAATCACAGGTTTCCGGCGTGCTCAAGGGACGCAACTCTGCACAGCGAATCGCGGCGCCTTAGACGACTAGGTCACCCGTGCCCCCCACTGACACAAGAGAACGAAATTATTTGCATCAATTTGAAGACAAGCAAATACATGGCGTCGCGAAGTGAAGGATTCTTTCATAAATAATTTCAGAACAACATCAGGCGTGAAACAATACATCAAGAGTGTAAAGAGATCAGTTAATAGTCCTTTAAAAATCTTGCTAATGCGACAATAAATAAAACAATAAAACGTGAACAAATGGAAACTCCAAACATGAAACAACTGATGCATAATTCACAAACATCTGTCATCACAACAGATCAAAGATAAGTGCGTCTGTTGTCGCACTGAAAGTGTTCAGTTGGGATTTCGAGAAGTGGTCCCCACTATGTGATGCTAGTTTCGGATGGTCAGGCTCAGTGACTTTTATTTTTTTGTATACCAACAGTGCAGATCGTTGTTCACAATATATACTCACACGCAAAAGAAACGCAAGTCGAGTATGCAGTATACATGTTATTTATTTTCAACAGTAAAGATAAGAAATACTTATAGGGCAAGATTGACAAACATTTGACTGAAGACAGTTTAATGGATTAAAAGGCAGATGACATAATTGTTTTTTTCAAATGTTAAGGGCTTACACAGTTTCGAGTCAATATCCAAAATGTCAGTCATGATCAATACCTAGTGTGACCACCA